CATTCCTCATCGAAAGTAGAGATAGTTTCCTTGACAAGATAAAGGTCTGACTTCGCGGAATTGGCTAACTTGGAGCAGTGGAGCGACGGTTTTAGAGAAGCCGTTACACACACACCCAAGCCTTGCTGGGTGTCTACCTCCCGCAGTGGCATGCCACTTAGGTGGTAAACCCTCCGGCTCAGAGATCGGATCCTTCCGACTCGCAAGACATTCCACTTACTCACATTAAACACAAAAGCCAGACCTGTAACCATTTATCGAGTCAGGCCAGGTCTGCCTGCAAGCGGACTTCGTGAAATTCACTTCGGATGACGTTCCAACGTGTAACATCATCAGCGAACATGTCAACATCACAATTCAGTTCACTGACGCAGTCGTTGATGTATATAATGAATAGGGTAGGGCCAAGAATGGAGTCTTGTGGAACACCGCTTTCAAGCACTACCTCTGCCGACTGCCTGTTACCGACGTGGGCGATTTGAGATCGACCGATCAAGAAGCTTTGAATCTACCTCAGGAGATAAGTCTTTATGCCTGTTCGGCTTAATTTGTACAGGAGACGCTGATGTGGTACACTGTCTAATGCTCTCATAAAATCGACGTAGACTGCGTGCACTGCATTGCCGCCATCGACTGCCCGGGTCCAGCGTTCTTAACAATAAAGTTTGTCACGCATGATCTGCCTCTACGAAATCCGTGCTGGGCATCGCATAGCAGATTATGCTGTTCTAAGAAGCGCGTTATTCCTAGCAAATTGAAGTAAGGCTGATTGGTCTATAGTTGTTTGTCAAGACCTTGCTTCCGCCTTTGTAAAGTAAGGAAGGGCTGTAGTCTTGGGCTTCGCAGAGGACTCTGATATAACAGACGGTAGATGTCAGGACGCATTCAACACATAGAACAACGATGAACCCAGCGAACACGACAAAGGACTTAGTGATAGAGCTTGCCGGAATGCAGTCGTAGAACATGCGCCATGCATTCATTTTTCAGCGCATATTTATAGTCAAGTCTTATTTTCTTGGATGTTTATTCGAATCCACCACATCGAAAGACACATGGCCAAAACGAACGGGGAAATAATTGTAGAGCTGCAATGAGGTTGGTTATCGCCAATTGTTAGGACCAAATGACCACATTCACATAGTATTAATAAGTATTCGGTTTAACTTAAAGCATATATACAGGACTTAATGAAATAGACAGATCTAAATTAGGTATAGCGCGATGTGTTACCTGGTGCAGAATATCAGATTGGCAAGACCATTTCGCAGTCCGCATAATCAATAAAATCGAAGTAATTTAACGCACAAAAATAAGCTAAAGAAGAGGAAGACGTCGTATGGACACGCAGACGATGTTCATGGGGTTTTTGAGGGATTATTTTGCTTGGTAGCCATGGATACAAATATCGTCATACCGAAATTTCACTACAGTTGTCCTCGTATGTATGCGCTCAGGAGAGATTGGAGGGGCGAGGCGATATAGCAGGTGACATTTTCCTGATGTTTCAACGAGTACACGATCCCAGCTGGCAACTCGAACTGAAGACCAATCCTATGCATCACCAGACCCAACCACGCATCGTCAATGGGAATGCGCTTAGTGTAGAACATGGCCAAAGCCAGATCCGCCACGTGATCGTAACCAAGCATGTAGAAGTAACCATTGCTGTAGGGCGCATGCACTGGCCACGGAACCTCCCGCTTCGACAGTGCCCATTTTCGGACGGCCGGAGTGTCCGTGGGACGCACTGTGGGGCTATTCCAGCGAGTACTCGAAATGGAAACACTGCGCCGCCAATCCACCGGCAGACTGAGCAAAACGGCCTGGAGGCGTTACTCATTGAAACCAATGTCATCGTCGAGGAACATGAAGGCAGGACGTGCGCGACAGAACCTGGCCGACCACACGAAGGTGTGATGCATCTTCAGAGAACGATTGTAGTAGGTGTCCTGGAGGTCGCCCGCGATAAGATCATCATGAGACTTCAACTGTCATCATAATAATCATTCTTTATGTGTTAACCTTTTTGACTCCTGGATACTCTATTAACTTGTTTACTGCCCATAGTGAATGGAGCCATTTTTTCTGGAAATTTTGAATTTGCTAATTCAAAATAGATCGAATCCCTCTCTCTCTTTCTCTCTCATAGAAACGTTCATTAACGTCAAAAACTGCCCGAACATGGGTTTGGTCAATTTATGGTCAAATTCATAGTCATTTTCGCTGACAAAATTACTTAGACGCATGTTCAATAAGAAAATCGGCTATTTTGTCTGAAGGAGCTATGCGAATGAGTACAATGCTCAACGTTCTACTGCCTAGAAATTCTCGCCTCAGTCTCCAACATCATCTCCCAGGAGTTGGGTCAAACATTGTATTTCCTAGGGACTGGGAAGCATGACTGGAAATAGAAGCCGCAGTCGAAAAAATTGTTCTTCTCAAGGTCATATAGAAATGCATTTGTATTCGTTGCCAGAGCATTTCCAGGTGCCACTTGACCTTCCGCAATACCCCGGAATTCCCTCTAAAACCTCAGCAGATTTCACCGACTTTCTGGGCTGGGACTACAGAATACACGTGGGCATAGGTCTGATAGGGCACAGAAAAGTTGTAAGCAACAACGCTTAAGAGCACACTGTGAGTTCAGAAGTAAACATTTTTCAGAACATCAATCACATACAGTAGATGAGCCAACACAGGAAAAGTTGACCGAAATTGTGAAATGTCTTTTCAACTCCAAAAGATGACTTAAGTAGGAGTGGAATATTCATTATTATGTAGCATAATCTCAAGGTATTCCGACTTCTTTGCGATACCGGCTTTTGCACGAACTTCTATCCGGCCGCCTGCAAAAACTACACTTCTGTAAAAAAGACTACTTAATTGGTGTGGATCTTTCCTATTGATTTTCAATGCCCCTGTGAATTCAAAGACATTTCGTAGGAAACATGCATGATACTATTCATTCTTTCCCTCTTTTAGTAGAAAATTGCACCTACAAATTTCATACTTGACGGAGGGCTACAATTCGGTCTTTAAAATGGTTTCTGTCAATGAACTTTTCTAAGACCGTGTCTCTTCATTTACTAATATTGCTTGTACAGTCGACAATATGGCTCAAGTTCACTGACAAATGTATACGGTCTATCTTGGAACGGTAGATCAATGAGTGGTTTTTCGTACACGAAAAATATACAGTTTGTAGTTTTTAAACCCTGAGTGCAAATGTTACAGCATGACGAGGTCGAAATTATTCGGAAATTGGAAAAAGTTTTCATAAACGAATTATAACCTTCATTCCAGTATGAAATGTGAAGAAGACGTAATTTTCCACAAAACTAATACAATGAATATTTGTGTGCATATTTTCTATGAAGTATATTTGGAGTTATAATTGAACCGAAAATCAACGAAAAACTTTCATCCTACATAAGTAGTTCTTTTTTTACCGAGTGCAGTTTATGCAGGCGGCCGAAAAGAAGTTCTTTCCAAAGCCGACACGGCAATTAATATTACAATCCCACTTAAACATATTTTCGAGTCGAAAAGACTTTCGCAATTTCGATTAACATTTCATGAGTTAGCACACCCACTACATATGTATATACAGGCAGATTAACGTTATCGGCAAAAACATGGAAACTGGAATGGCCATTTCGGGCTCATTAGCCGTCGCCAGGCAGTCACACCGAACCCCGAAGTGGGACTCGATCCTATCTCCTGCTTCGCAATGCGGCCGCTTGTTGGGCTCGATAGAGAGCCCTAAGGCACAACGGGACGAGTGAGTTCCGTAAAAAACGATCAGGGAAGGCCTCTCTACCATATGTATGTACGAATTGAATAACAGGTATCTGAAGAAATCTAATAAGAAGGACGAAAAGCTTTGGAAAACTGTAAATTTTATTGTGTAGATTTTCGAGACTGCTTCCACAACTCGATCTAGATAACACACACAAAATTTTTTAGGACAGATATAGACTGGTCCAAGAAATTCCCTGCAGGTGGGAAATTGCAATTAGCACGCATTTATGCAGACTTTAACCAATCATGAAATCCTTTGTTAAACACAGTCTAGAAGTTAAGTGCTTTTGTACACCCAAAGTCCGAAGACGAGCTGGAGAACCCATCTCGGAAATCTACACAACACATTTTGTAATTTCTCAAGGAAATCCATCTCGAGCCCAACCAGCAGCCGCACAGCGGCGCATGATATAAAGGCAGAATGGTATTACCGACAAATTATAAAGGAGATTGGAATGGCCATTTCTGGCTTATTAGCCGTCGTCAGCCAGCCATACTCAAGCCCTAAAGTGTGCCACACCCGAACCTCGAACTCGCGACCTGTTGGTTTAGAAGTCCACGCCTCTTCCCACCGGGCCACGAGCCCGTTGCCTTGTCGGTTTTCGATCGGGAATATACAATCGTAGGGGGCGCTCACGATCGTTCATACGGAACTCACTCGTTCCGTTGTGCCTTAAGGGCTCTTTCTTGAGCCCAACAAGCAGACTCATAGCGGCGCATGATGTATAGGCAGAATGACATTACCGACAAAGACAAGGGAACGAGTGAGTTCCGTATGAACGATCGGCGAGCGCCCCCTACCAATGCATATATATATATATTCTGTCCGTACTGTGGGCGGACAGCAGAGCTTAGGCATCGTTTCATTGGATTCGCCTTCGTTTCGCACAGCACCGAGAAATGCATCGTCCAATTCATCGACGAATGATCATTTTTTTGTAAAATACACACATGAAAGGTTTAGCAAAACGGAGCTGACTTGAGGGAATATTCAGGGTTTTACTCAATCAGTTTCAAACAACCATACGAAGACCAAAAATTGCACGCGATTATGTACAACAATAGACCAAAATCTGGTGAAGTTACAACGAGGACATGCAGACGTCGTCTTTAGGGTTTCTGGAAGGTGTTTTTCCCTGGTTGTCATGACTACCGGCATTTTTTTCAATCGATTTGTCCTACAGTTACTTTTGCGTCTATGCACTGAGGAGGGAATTAAGGGGTAAAACAATATACCCGCTGACATTGGCTTGATGCTTCATGGAGCTGGTGATCCCAGTTGGTAAGTTGAAATGGAGGCCAATCCTATGCATCACCAGACCCAACCAGACGTCGTCAATGGGAAGGCTCTTGGTGAAGGACATGGCCAACGCCAGATCCGCCACGTGATCGTAACCAAGCATGTAGAAGTATCCATTGCTGTAGGGCGCATGCACTGGCCACAGAACCTCCCGCTTCGACAGTGCCCACTTCCGATATGCAGCAGAATCGGTAGGACGCACGGTGGGACTATTCCAGTGAGTATTCGAAATGGAAACTCTGCGCCGCCAATCCACCGGCAGACTGGCCAGAACGGCCTGGAGGCGCTTCTCATTGAAACCAATGTCATCGTCGAGGAACATGAAGGCAGGACGTTCGCGACAGAACCTCGCCGCCCACACGAAGGTGTGATGCATCTTCAGAGACAGATTGTAGTAGGTGTCCTCGAAGTCGCCCACGATGAGATCATCGTGTTCACGCATCTCCTGCTCTAGACGAGTTCGAATCTGGGCGCGGCGGTTTACAACGTTGACGAGCGAGTTGCCGGCGCGACCGGGCAGTGAGATGTTGAAACCATCGCGTTGGAAGAAATTGCTGCTTGCGCTTGTTGGCAGGCCCACCACGAACACTACCCCTATGCGATAAGGCAGTTTAGCGCCGCTCTCGTTTCGCAGATTGGCGTAGAATCTGCGAAAGTTTTGTCTGTCCTCGAAGTTGTAGACGGCTGATTTCACAATGACGACGAGGTCGTGGTTGTGTTCGCGGTCAGAAGCGTTAATTCCTTCCGGTGGACAAACCGAAGTGCTCACTTTGAGTAACCGTACGGTGGGGCTATTTAATGGAGGCTAAAAGCGTACACGAAAAAGGCGTTTAGGGCTCGGAGGCATTATGAAAGCAGAAATAAATAGGTGTCCTGTGGATTCTCTGGGGGTAGCCGGCAGCTGTACGCCTACTGGCGGGCTCAAGAGGGATCCCTAAAGAACAACGCGACAAGTAGATTCCATAACGCGATTGGTGCGCCCCCCTATGTCATTCTTAATGTACCCGATCACACATCACCGGCACCTCTCACGTAGGTGAGGAGTGTGCCATTTGACTCATTTCTCCAGGTGGCTTCCCCGTTGTATGTGTGTGTGTGTGACGTCTGACCGGTCTGTTCCCCTTGTGTGTGTGTGTGCGTATGGAGACCGGGTCGTGCGTGGGGCGCGCGGAGACGAACTCCCTAGCTCTGTCGTCCACTGCACCTAATCCCAGGTCAGACAGCCGACCGGTTCTGACAGTGAACTGGTGTCTGGGAGGGTGAGATCGACCCCCTGAGCGCATAATCCCTTACTACAAACAATCTGACGCGCTTGAGAATATCAAGGTGCCTTAAAAGCCGAGCCAGCCTCTGTTTATTCCTGCGTACGTTGTGGACCAGAGTGTGTAGTGGTGCGCCCAGTTGCGGGTGTTCGGCTGCGTCACGGGCTTACGTCCGCTCCCGCCTCCTGTCTCCTTGGCTCTGTCTTGACACAGGGTCGCGGTGGAGAAAGAGGGGGTTGAGGTAGATGCTGCGCAAGTTTACCGTCACTTTAGGTTAGGTCACGCGCAAGTTACCGTCCCTGTTGTGAAACACACAGGGGACATCGTCGGTCACGACAGTCGAACCTTTGTCTACTTTTTATACCTGCTAGCACTTTAAGTTCCCGCTATATTTATAGAAAAGAAGGAGGACTGGTCGGACAGTCTGTTTATTGTTCTGAGGTTTTGAATCCCTGCAGAAGTCCATCGTCAGAGGTAGTGGTGGCGACAGAACGAGCGACGACTGTGGGGGTGTATTAGTCGAACGTCGATCGACGGCGCTTGCCTGGAGGTGGCTGCCCAGGGCTCTGTACGCTGGCGTCAAAAGCGAGACTATGTGTTGGAATCGCACACCGACCCAAAGTCACCAAGTACAGCAAGTTTATGGGAGCAAATGTCCGGTTAAATCCCGTTGAGCAATCTGGGGTAGTCGAACATATTTTGTGCGAAAACTGCCCTTGTAACTACACAGGTCAGATTGAGCGTATGCTCGGATCGCGTACACACAAAACTAGCTGGCTTATAAAGATAAACCAATTGTTCTGCTGCTCGCCCAATCTTCTTTTTACAGAAAATCAGCCAGGTACTGTGTGCTAGCATGCACAACGAGACTGAGAGGACTTTGCAACATTATCCTTCATCTTTTATCTTATTTTCCGAACAGTATCAAAGACTGCATTTTATGCATCAATTTTACCCACCTCAGGAACAAAGCCGGTCTCCCTGTAATTCTTGATGAGTTCAGGCAGTGCAAAACCCTGCGGATACAGAAGGAAGACGCCCGGATCAATTGGCCTTTTCCAGTCAGTATCGTCTATTTGCGCCAGCTCTGCATAGCTGATATTGCGATCTCCACCCTTCTTGCTGATGGTACCGAGGGGAAATGAGTCATGTCTGGTTACTGGGAGATGCGGATCTACACAGTAACGAAGACTCAGGTCGTAGGCGCCGTCCCGTGTCATTTCACCGACTTTAACCCAGACGGCGTCGCATAGAGTCGAGGAAACTCCCATTTTCACAGTTTCGACAACGTTTACCAAACGTTCTCTTGTGAAGTAGGCATCGTTGAGTATCTTAAGGAATCCCAGCAACGCGAGGAGAGAAATCCATGCGCGGAGAGACAGCGTGAAAGGGCATGTCATGATTTAGTCTGTTCTAGTTGTGCCAGCTAGACTCGGAAATAAAACCCACACCTTCGGGGGCAATAATATATACGGAACTTAATCTCACGCATGTAGTGCTGCATAACCCGTCGAGGGATGTTTACCGACAGTTAAAATCGACCAACCAGGGTTGAGAACATTCGGTGTGCCGATGTCGACCGCACGTGCTTAAATTTAGCAGAATATTCCAGGTGAGTATACTAGCTTGTTTTAGGCTGAACTTCGATTTAGCCCCCGGTGTCCTTCTGCGACATCAGCTTCATTACCTGACACCACAAAATATTCAAAGTAGGCATTAGACCGGAGGCCACAGCTGGTGAAACCAAAAACACTGTTTTCTTTCCCGTGTTCTTCTTTCAACATTTGTCTGCTTGCATGGTTTTCAGCGGAAATCTTAGGCACTCTAGTCTGACCATTGTGGCTGCCTGTGAAAAATACAGGGTTCACCGGATCAGGGACATTTTACTGCTGTCCCTCTTATGGCGTATGTACTAACGTAGGACTTTATAGGCCGCAGGGAGTTCAATATGCCTGTTGATGGATTTGGCATCTGAGTACCAAGCCTCTCTTGTAAGACGTTCTGTCCTTGAGGTGCCCAGGCTTAGGATGTTTGCTCCTTGAAGGTCAAAACTGTGATCAGTTTCTCTGATGTGAGTCGCAAGCCGTGGGATTGAGTCTAGTTTCCGAGTTGGTAGTTTGTGCTCAATTAGGCGGGTCTGAAATTTCCGCCCGATTTCCCCAAAGTAGTTGCAGTCTCCATCGTTACAACGTATTTTATAGGCAACTGCTGAGGTTTCAGTGGGTGGCAGTATGTCTTTGGGTTGCATCAAACGGCGACGAATTGCTGCCTGAGGTCGATGGGCAATGCCTACCCTGGATGGTTGTAACAGACGAGAAACAGCCTCGGAGACTCCTTTAATGTAAGGAATAGCCCTCCATACTTCGGATTATTCTTCTTGTGGTTGTCGCCTGTTGACTCGGCACTTGCTCTGATTGATGAAGTAGCTTGGGCATCCTTTGGCCCCAATAAGGTCATGGAGTTATTGTCGTTCAAATCTTTTTTGGATGGTTTGCTGCAGTGTGTTTCAATTCTTTGGACTACAGTACGGACACAGCTGCATTTGTCAGAGAGAGGGTGATTGCTGCTGACGTGAAGTATTTGTCTTGTGTTGATGGCTTTTCTAAAAACGGTAGTTTGTAATTGCCCAGTCGCACACCGACGCACAAGGACATCGAGGAAGGGAAGTTGGTTGTTTGTTTTAGCTTCTATCGTGAATTGGATATTCGGGTCATCCGAGTTCCGCGATTCTTTAAAGTGCTCCACATCAGATGGTGTCATTGACGTAACGAACCCAAAACTTTGGTTGATACTTGTGAACACCGAGCGCTCTACCCAATGAAGGACCATTTCAGCAACCTTGGCAAGGGATATTTTGGCGCGACACGGCAGAAGAATGACTACAATACTTATGCATGATTGCCATCAAAGATTTTAGTGCTACGGCCCAGGAATTGCTCAATCGAAGTCGTATTTCGTGGCAACTACTGGTGAAGGATCGAAGGATATTGAGAAAACCATGCTCAATCATGCTCGAAAGGTTCGTGCCAAAAAGGCAAAGAATTATCAGCAAATTTACCAAACTGAGACCAGCTCGCTCAAATAACTCGTCGGGCGACCTTGTCCACAATCCTTCTTCCAAATCCCTCACCAGCACACAACTTGCAGTCCTGGAACGTGGAGCCATTTTCAACACAGCAAACGCCCCACCCCCAGAGTACATTGCCGCTTTTGAATCTGTTCTTCAACAAAGACAAACGTCAGAATGGACGAAATAGTTGATCAGCCACAAAAACCCTCTTTGTTAATGCAATAGAAGGAGAGCGAACCTCACAGCAAAGAAGAACAGAAAACATTATAACGCCCAAAAGTGGATAAAGACATAATCCTTCGAGGGGCCCTGGGCTTACCCTCTTGGCCCGGTTTTGACGCATATATTCATGGGCACGCCAGAATTTTCCCAGTTTCGTTACCAGATCAACGGCCTAAGACACTATGGGTGATACGTGGATTGCAACGGACGAAACAACGCCTCATTTTGACAGGATAATATAAATCAGGCTCCCCACGAATCAAATTCCCGCTGTAAGAAGAACAGCTCGGATCGTTTCCCTTTCTGTATGTGCTTTTGAGTAGAAGGCCTGACCGTAGAATTCGACATAACGTTGACCGTAAGAGGACGACCAATTTTGGAAGTCTCCTACCGCTTAATTTGAAATGAAGTTTAGTTTACTGCTTGGCAGAAAGGGTGAGAAGGATCTGCTCGACTGATAGCGTTGAGAGAGAGAGCTTAAGTTTGACGAAAGCCTCTTTCGCCAGAATGGCCGCCCGGATGGATTCAGTGCAAATATCACAGCCGGAAGAACATTAACTCCTCCCCCCACTGTTAACGTCAGGAAAGAAAATGCTGTCCATTAGGTTCTCATTTCAAGGAAACACGCCGAGTGAACTTTTAGGGGGTCAATTTGACAGCGAATCTGAACTTACCTCCGGAACCATTCCGGTCTCCTTGTATTTCTGAGTGAATCCGCGTAATGCAAGACCTTGTGGATACAGAAAGAAGACGCCTGGATTGATTGGCCTTCTCCAGTCAGCATCATTTATTTGGGCCATTTCTGTAAAGTTGATTTTGCGAAATCCGCCCTTCTTGCTGATGAGATAGAGTGGAGGTGTGTCGTATCTGGTTATTGGGAGATGCGGATCTAGGCAATAGCGAAAGCTCAGGTCGTAGGCGCCCTCTCGTGTCATTTCATTGGAACTACTCCACCGAAATTTGCACATTGTGGATGAAACCCGGATTCTCACTATTTCGAAAACGTACTTTGTCCAACCTCTCATGAAGTAGACATCGTAAAATATCATCGTTATCCCCAGCAGTGTTAAAATGAGGATCCACTTACGATGAGGCAGTACGCATTGGGTCATCACGGTGTAATCTCTTCTTGGTTTTGTCCCCAGCTAAGCTCAGAATGATTTATACAGTGTGTTATTGCGTCTTAAGTGCTGCGTAACACGTTGAAGGATGTTTACCGGCGGTTAAAACCTAGCCAATCAGAGTTGGAACATGTTCTGTTTATGCAGACGACAATCGAACGCGTTTAAGTGTAAAAAGGAGTCCATAGAATGCATCCTTGCTGGTTGCCGACTCAACCTCCATTTGGCGAGCTGTCGTTGAGTCCTAATTTAGCCGTTGATATGTACGTGAGACATCGAGGCAGCTTGCAAGCCCCACCTAACATCCGAAATGGACATCAGGCTGAGGGTTGCATTCAATACTCCACATCGGGAGCACGGTAGGACGTGTTTCGGAACCCGCAACATATCCTGATACCTAGCGTCCCCCACTTTAAAAGGGGGTTTGCAAACATGCGCGTTTCTAAAGCTGAAGATGCTACTTTTAAGAAAATAAGCCGACCGCATTCTTAAAGCCTCGGGGGCTTTTCTTCATTCAAAGTGAATTGCATGATAAAGTTATCAAGGAATACGAAGAAATCTCCGATGACCGTAAGACTGCCTACTGGTGAAACCAACTGCCCTCACCACATTCGAACAGAGTACTTGGTGAAGTTGATGAGGAAGAATGGATCACCGAGAGGAGTAATCTGATGGTCAAGTCGAGATGCACTGTTCGAAAATGGAGCATTTACGAAATCAGCTGTCGAGAAGTTTGGCCTTAGTGTACAACAGCATGGTATTACCGACAAAGACATAATACTGCCATCATCATTCGAGGACACCTACTGCAATTTGTCTGTGAGAATGCATCACATATTTGTTTGGGCCTCGAACGTCCTGCCTTCATTTTACTTGACGGTGACTTGCGCGTGATTTAGTTTATAGTGAATGTGAACTTGCTCAGCATATATCGCACTCTCTCCTCCTCCACCTCCCCTATCTGGATCCAAGAGAGAGTCAAGAAGACCGGAGACGAGGGAGGGCGCAGGTGGATGGCACGGTCGAGCCCGAACCTTGGCGTACCTCTCCACATCCTCTGGTCCACACAGGCTTTTTACCAACAACAAGAATGGTGACTGGCACTTCGGGAGTCGCACCTAGGCGTGCCGCCCACACTTCGCTCGGATCCCACACAGTGAGAGTGTCATAAAGGTCACATTAAGAAGAAGTCATTGCAGCCTGACTCTCAGAACCCTAGCAAGCTGCTCCACACAAACACAAAACTCTGGGCCGACTGCGAGGTCCAAGTTATCCCGCTATCTAAATCCACCCACACATGACAACTACAAATTCAATGACAGCAAAATAAACAATATGCTTGCCGTTTTCGCATTAACACCCTCTTCGGCTGTTCTTCTCAGGCAAGTTTACTAACAAGCATCAAATAGCCAGCGGGCAGTCCTTCGTATCGTTGAACCAAATGGAGAGCTTTATCAGACATATGCAAGAAGCGCTATCATTTTGTCTTCTTCCGGAGAGAACGGTTCATTTTACATACAACTTTGGCCTTATCAAGCACATTTGTTTTTTAGGTCGATTTAATTATGCGTCATGTAGTTTCGGACAGTCGTTCCCTTCCAGGCAATCAAAATCCCGGACAACAATCTGACGCGACTAGCAGAAATAGGAATTTTCACGGGTTGGACTTATGCAAAAACTGCCGGGAAACGCCTTTCTCAAAAGGCCATATAACTGTGCAAAACAGCAAGGTCATCGTCTACTGCACGTAGACTGATCAATAAAATGGTAACTTAAAACGCAACATGGGAAAGAAAGTGGAAAAGTTAACACGCCGACGGATTTCGTACATTGTACATAAGCCTCTGCCGGTGTCTTTCCCATACTTCTCTTCTAGGCGGGATTGGATCGTAATTACTGTGGTGCTGTGCGTTCACTCACTACTTTAAACACCACAAGTCACGACCCCACAATTCCTAGCGCGGTGCCGCGTACCACAGACGGAGGGCTTATTCTCGCTTGGGGCGCTAGACCTTAATTTATGGAAGCTGGCAAAAGCAACCGTGCACTTTACTAAGGCGGGAGACAACAAACATTCGGACCGCCAGCAGACTCCGCATGAAGTAATAACGCCTCATGTTCGCCGATTTTGGGATTCCTACAGATGCAAGGCATCAAAAGTAAAGAATGACTGTCAGTCATTCAAAAACCGACAGCAATGCATGCACCTAAGCACTATATTTATAAAGAACAACTCTATGGGAATTGAAAACGTGAAGCGGATAACAAAGACAGCGTTATGTTGTTTAGAAATATTATTTTTAAGAACAACGGAAAATCCCGAGAATAATAAAATTGGTTGTAATTTAGTGAACCTTCAATTTTCGGTATAAAGAAAGCCTGTCCGTGAAAAACAATTAGTGAAGATGACAACGCAAATAAAATAATATTTGAAAACAGTAGTTTAGGGAAGGTTACGTCCAAATGCCCTTTAAAAATTAATGTAATTTTAAGTGTGGCGACTGGCTTCCGCATTAATGATGATGCGTCTGAATAGGGTAAACAGGATTTTACTTGATTTCTTTATGGGAATGGTAGTTTTTATAAGGCCTGTCAGTGACACATAAATAGGTTTGGTATAATTAATCGCAAACATACCACTTTGCTAGGCGGTCGCTCACCGATCGCGATATTGAATTCACTTGTCCCGTCGTGCCTTGGGACTCTCTCTCGATCCCTCCCCCACCGGCAGACGCACAGCGGCGCGTGGTATAGGCAGAGTAGCATGCGCGGTCGATTAACCTCCTCCTACCAATGTACAGTAGGTGGGCTAACTGATTAACTGTCAACCGAAATTCCGAAATGCGTTTTCATTTCGAAAAGCTTAATAAGTTGGGTTGTTAAACCAGTCCGCCTGCAACATAATTCTATAATATTTCAGTTAACCCAGGATGCCGGCTTTCGAACGAACTTCCTTCCGGTTTCATGCATAATCAACACTCAGTAAAAATTACCACTTAATTAGCATACATTTTCCCATCGATTTTCGATGCCATTAAAATTCCAATCCTATTGCATGGAAAACACGCATAAAAATATCCATTCTTTCGCTCATTCGGCAGCTAGATACGACTTCTTCTAATTTTATACTCGATGGTTGGACATGATTCGGTTTTAAAATAGTTTCCTATTGTTAGACTTTTTATTATCGTGGAACGGCCGTTCATAAACAACCTTCTCTTTGCCTTTACCAATATGACTTGTAAAGTTAACAATATGAATCAAATCCACTGTAAAATTTTATGAACTCTATATGGCCTCCTTCAGTACCGTAGAAAAAAATATGTGGTTTTCCGTACGTGGAAAATATACGGCTTGTAGGTTGGAAACCCTAAATTTAAGTGTAACGGCAGGGCGGATTGAAAATTATTCGGGAATTAGAAAAGATTTTGTAAACCGAATTATACCATTCTTTCGAGTATAATATCGGGAAAAGAGGTATTTATCTACCGAATGACCAAGGAAATGAATATTTTATGCATGTTTTTCATAAAATATATTTGAATTTTCAAGGGCATCGAATATCAAGGGGAAATGCCATACTACTTAATTAGTCATTTTTTACAGAGTGTGATTTGTGCATGGAGCCGGAAGTAAGGTCGTTGGAAAGCGGGCATCTAAGGAAAATGACTTGTTGTGGAATTATGCTGCAGGCTGACTAGTTTTACAAACCTACTTAATTAATCTTTTCGAAACGAAAACGCATTTCGGAATTTCAGTTGATATTTCTTGAGTTAGCCCACCTACTATATGCACCCGATCGCAACCGATAGGACAGCGAGCCCGTGGTTCAGTGGTTAGTGGGTTGGACTCATAACTCAAAATTTATTTTCAATGTCCTTATGAATTCAAACATATTTTACAGAAATCATGCTCAAAAATATTCGCTCTTATAGTCATTTGATAAAAATACGTCTTCTTAAAATATTTTGCTTGAAAAAGAGCGTTAAATAAGTTTCTCATTATGCGATTTTAAAGGCCATGAAACCCCCTTTTCGTAAAACATCGTGTCCCTGCATTTGCAAATGTTGGTTGCAAAGTTTACATTATGGCTTAAATCCACTGCTAAATTTTATGAACGTTTAATAGTCTCCTCTTAATACCATAGAGAAATTTATTATTTTCTGTCCACAGAAACCTTGAATGCAAATGCAAAGGCAGGTCGGGTTCATAATTATTCAGGAATCGGAAAAATATTTATAACCGAATTGTACCCTTCCTTTTAAGTGTAAAATTTGAAGATGACGTGTTTTTCTACCTGATGATTAAAAGCATAAATATGTTTATGCATGTTTTCCACGCAATCTGATTGAATTTGTAAAGAAATTGAAAATGAATGAGGATGATTCTTTCTGCATATGTAGTCATTTTTAAGGAATCTATTTTTCACAAGCGGCTAAAAAGGAAGTTCATTTAAAAGCCGGAATTCTACAGTAACTGAAAAATCATGGGATTCTGCTTCACGGTGATTAAAGTCGCAAACCCACTTAAATCATCTTTTCGAGTCGAAAAGGCATTTCGCAATTTCCGTTACAATCTGATTTCCAGGGTTAGCATTAGACGAAAATCAATCTCCAAGTGCGGAAAGCTCTGATTAGTATTACTCTAGGGGTAAAAAGGAAAAACACACTCAGATGCGCCGTCGAAATCTAGGGCAGGTACCAACATATCACATTGCTCGATTATTTTGTAACGACCATTTCCGCTTAGCGTTTTCAACATATCCCTCGACAAAAGTGCCTAGACACATTTTATGCACACGAAAAGGGCATTTACTCGAAGGGGCTGGATGTGTGAGCAGAATGTATAGCGTTTAAGGCGTCTAAAAATTCCCATATCATTTTCTGCCATTAAGCTTCGCTGGTTTGGTCACGTTCTTTGGTTGAGACAGTCCTCTAACGATTGGATTGGTTGGTCTTTTGACAACGCAGACCGACATTTTGGGCTCGATATGTGGATAACAACTTCGTCGTCGTCGTCGTCGTAGTCATTGGCGAAGCGAAAGCTCGAGGGCAATCGACGTTGCGTTCTTCGTCGTGGTTATTATGGACAACGACAGTTGTTTTAGCGTATCATGATATATTAATATTTTTTATCTTCTCCCCGACAAAGTCGAGGATATTCTAAGACCCCAATGAGCCTGTGCGACTTATTGCTACATGCACAGTAAAATTCGTAGGATTATCTTTCCAGTCTAAGTCATTTTCCTGCTAAGATGGAGAAAATGTGCAGATATTAGCGTTCGTTTCATGTACTAGGCAAAACGACGATGCAATAAATATGTCCCCTGCGATTATTCTCCACTGCTACGGTGAGGCGTCTGAAAATTTCCATACCAGTTTCTGCCATCACGTTTCACTAGTTTGGTCATTTTCTGTGGCTGAGGCAGTCCTACGATGATTGGAGTGTTTGGTCTTCTAACAACGCAGACCGACATTTTGGGCTCGTTATGTTCATAACACCTTCGTCTTCGTCGTCGAAGCGATTGCTCGAGGGTAATTAACGTTGCGTTCTTCATCGTGGTCGCTGTGGACAACGACAGTAATTTTAGAGTAATATGAAATACTAATACGTTTTATCTTTTCCTCGACAAAGTCGAGGATTTCCTAAGACCCTAAATGAGCCTGTGCGAACGACTGCTACATGCACAGTAAAATTCATAAGGATTCACTTTCCAGTCTAAGTCATTTTCCTGCTGAGATGGAAATGAAGTGCGGATATTAACGTTCGTCTCATATACTAGGCAAAGCGACGATGCAATAAATGTCCCCTACGATTATTCTCCACTGCTACGACGAGTTCTCCCGCATTTAATATCATCTCCCCACTTAGATCACAAGCAAGTTGTTGATGATCACGAAGAAGCCCTCTTTTCCCGACACCTGCTAGTGGTTTGGCCAGTCAGCAATGGGGTGTCGTGGTCGCATCTCTCCGCGCTTTCGTGATTCTCACAGTCTTAAGTGTCCCCTCCTCGGCTGGACTCTAAGCACACTGTGATCGATCGTGTCAGATTCCTCCTGTCTCGCTACCTTGACGGTTGCTTCTGCTGGCAACCCAAAAGAAATACGATCACATTTGCGACGAAAACAGCCTTATCCGTTTTAGAAATTCTGGCATGACAAGGAACGTCTCGTACCCTTATATACTCTCACCTGCAGGGAGATCCTCCCCCACTCGCATGCTTCCTATCCGACGAGCGACAGTTTTTTCTCCTTAAAAACTAATCCTGTCACATAAATTTTGTTTTTTTTTCACCGCTTGCTAACCGTTTTTCATATCAGAGTGCCGATTTTCTAAACATAAACTAAACAGTGTTTGCCCGTTCCTTCTAATATTCCCTCAAAATTGTATCCTCACATATCATAGAAGTACCCTTAAAGTTGCAAAATGATACAGCTTATTTATTTTTTACAGCTTCCGTTGTTTTAGAAACAATCAACTTGGCTAAAACACCAAAATTGGGCCAGAAATTGTATGCTTTAATGATAGGATTTTTATTGCGGCAAGAATTATCATAATCCATCTGATCTTTCGTCTTCAGACAGTCAGTGGACTAAGAGAGTTAGAAATCAACGAACATTACTTTCGAGGACAACAAAATCTTGAGCAGGCGATTTCTTTATTATTTGAACGCAGATGCACTTAGCCATTTAACAGGTGGGTCATACGCAGTTCTAATTGAACTCCGGACAAACGATGGAATAAAATTAGACTTTGCATCTCGCCCTGAGTTACTACGGTCTAATGTCCTTATGACATTAGTAGATAGCTACGAAAATGTACCAAGGACAACGACGAAGGAAATGCGTATACCGATTTCTGGCCTATTCGTTGTTCTCAGCTAACCATAGTTTGTACCTGGGCTGTGCATCAAACCGAAACTTTTAACCTCATTTAATTTACTCCAATCGAGTATAAACTGTGGAGAAGACGTGATTTCCTACCAAACGAGCAAAAGAAGGCATATTATTGTGCATGTTTTCTTCAAAATATATTTATAAGACCACTGAAAATCAGTCTAAAATATATGCTAATTAATTAGTGAATTTTTACTAAGTGCGGTCTATGCAGGAAGTGGAGAGGAAGTGCATTCAAAAGCCAAAATTTCAGCGAGTCTGAAGTACTATAGGATTATGCCGCAAGGCAATCAACGTTACAAATCCACTTAAGTAACCCTCCGCAATCGGAAGCACATTCAAGAATTCCGACAAACATTTCGCGAGATCGCTCACTCGTTGAAGGTTTCACATGACACCTGTCCGGGATACTCGTAACATGGCTTTCAAAGACGATGGATTCTTAAGTGATCCATTTCTGGCTTCTCCGCTCTCAGTGGTTATACACAACTCAATCCAACGACAGAAGTTTTGAAGCCTAGTTCAGTTGGGCAAATAACGACGACACACAAACTCACCCGAGCTGAATCCTAAAGTTCTCATGGGCGGTCACAGAGAAAAAACAGCCACCGAATAAGATACACCACCGACAATAACAGAGGAGACGGAGTGGCTGGTTTCGGCAAATCTGCCGTCATCAGTTACCCATTATGCACAACTGGGTTGTACAAAACAATGAACATTTAATCTGCTCTCCCATCTAGGCAGCAAGAGGTACCGGAGGAGTGAAACTCATGCGGCCAGTAACCTTTTGCCACCGGAGGGAATCCGACTGTCGGTCTGTGCCAAGTTCTGTTTGACGCGAACATACACTTTAATCTCTGCCTCATACAACAAACCAGTTCAAGTCTGAGCTACCTTTCCTGATGGGCCCGCGGATGAAGCTTCACCTAGCCATGCGCGTTCTTCTGCCTTCCTCAGTTCTTACAGACTAAAATAAAAAATTGCTGAAGGTACATTCCAAGTGTACCTCGGCGAATGTGAGGAGCGCCTGGTTGCACACATTTGCCCAATATTTCCGAATACCACGCTACTCACTCGATTTTAGTAACATTTAATATTTAATCTAAATTACAGAAAGGAGACCCGACGTGAACAACACAAACGGTGATGACCTTCTCTGACTGATTAATCGTCGTCAGTCAGTTTTAGCCAAGCAAAGACCTTACCACAACTGAGTCTTGAAGCCGTGAGCTACGGTCTTGTTGCGTTATCAAGTCCAACGTACCACCAATGTGCAGTAGATATGCAATCTCATGAGATGTTATCCGACATTCTAGAATACGGCTTCAGTATGAAAAGATTACTTAAGTAAGATTGTAATAATTATTGTTGTGTGGCAGGAAGCCTCAGAAAAATGGGCAGAACACGTGTTATTGTTATCAACTAGTGCCTACTTGTAAAACTAGATGACAGAAACTCAAATGTGGATTTTCGGGTGGCGTAAATGTTTTGCATTCCCGAACAGCTTCGTTAGCCGCTGCCTCCGCACGCGCCCACGGCGAACAAACGGAGGAGATCCACCAACACTCTGGCACCCTCTGCCATATATAAAGAACGTATCCGAAGCGATGGAACGTATCGCTGGAGAGCTCGGCGTGGGTATCGCTCACCGTCCGACAGCGACCATGCTCAGCAAAATCATGCAAGTGAAGGATCGCCTAGACGTGGGTGAGCAATCGGGCGTCGTCTATCAGATCCCATGTCGAGACTGCCCTCGTCACTACACTGGACAAACCGGACGACGACTAAGCTCACGAATAACGGAGCACAAACGGGCGGTCCGGAGAGGCGACCCGTTGTCTCAGGTCGCCACTCACATCCTGGAGGAAGGCCACGAATTCAACTTTGCGAGCACGCGGATAGTGACGCGGGCCAGCAATAAGACAGGACGAGAACTGCTGACACCTAGACTTCGACTGCACGTCTGAGTGTGGTTTTCTTTGAAAGGGATAATATACCTTTTAGAGTTCTACTAACAGAACTGTCTGTCCTTGGAACTTGATTTTCTGTACGATGCTAAATGTGGGAATCAGATAGGTAACGCAGGGGTTATTTTGAGAGAACTGAGAGTTTAATAGTTTTTAAATTCAGACAGGCAAGCCTGGGCGATTTCGTGTGCTACAGTGCGGTAATAACGTAAACAGACAGTCCTTCGCTTAAATGGGCCGAAATTTAATTATCGTCTGAAAACTTATATGTTTTCCCACAGAATTGGCTACTACCGAATAATCATTTTCAGTTTTGAACATATGGAGCATTACTCTCTGCACGGTCTAGCTTTTGCACATAAGCAATTTAGAAATTGAAAGGGCAAAATATTTAAAACTTCAGCAAAATACCAGCGTTCACGTTGGCACTCTGCTGTGCACTCATAATCCTCGGGCGCAGTCTATAAGTAACAAAGAAGTAAAAGTGGCCGCAGTCTAAAGAGCAAGATCTGTACTTCCGTTATCGGTGGACAAATATCAGTATTTTTTTTAGCGACATAGAAGGAACGGCCGAAAGTGTCAATTTTTTCTTGGCTCCGCCATGTAAGGTTCACGGATATCCATCAACGGGATGCAGTATTAAAGCACTCCTTAGAAGGCAACTTACGTGCAAAGGTTTTCGGAATGATCGAAAGTATATTCGTTGTTGACGTTAGTTGTGGGCGTTCATTATATTCAGTTTTGAGGATTCCTGTTTGCGTAAGCTTTTCCGCGAGAGCCAAACGACCATCTACACGGAAAAGAACGTCCAATCACTCAATACCTCAATCATCATCATCATCATCATCATCATCATCATCATCATCATCATCATCATCATCATCATCATCATCATCATCATCGTCATCATCATCATCATCATCACCACGACCATCATCATTATCCAAAATCTAAACACTCCTATTTCCCGTGCCACACACGTTCCAATTTTTACTGAACAAGTGGAGTGATCGTGAACTCCCCTGGGTGGGACTTAATTATGGGCAACACGATAGGAACTCATTAGGAATTGCTCCCGGTCTATCAATCAGTAACCATACATAAACTCATAGCACTGGCCACGAGGACCGAGATTTCTCCTCAGTTGGCACCTAGCGCATCTTGACGGTTTCAACACGCGTCGGATTTATTGCGATAAAGAATGTAATAAAGTGTCGCGGAGATGGAGTGCACCCAGAGTCGGGTTTACTATTTTTTTAATACGCCAGTCGGCTGCGCGATCATGACTAAAAATGCAATCATCCCTTGCTACTAACATCGACTAGACAGCTCTTCTCATTCTATTGATGTTGTGGGCCGCCGAATTGGGTTATAAGGACTAGGTGGGGTGGAAGCGTGTAGGAATATAAGGTAAACCGTGCAGGTGTGATGGGTCGTATCATGCAACTGGCGACTTCTCTATACGGCCCTCAATGGATACCAAACCCGCCTTTGTGACCCCCGAAGCTAGGCTCTGCATAGCAGCGCCATCCCGGTTAACGCCTTGATTGGCGGACTAAGCTAAATGCGGGTATTCTGCACTGCGTTTGTCCCTGCATCCTGCAGTTATGCTCACATTCCCGCCCGCTTACTTCCACAATGTCAAAAAGCAGAAGGTTATGGGTTGTGTCCGGGGCAGATAAAATAGTATACAAGACTGGCTACTGCAAGTACTTAAGTAGGTGTTGTTATGGTACTTTTATCGTGTACCACATAGACCTGGTCTACGTTCACCGGCCTGTACTATTGACCTTGCAAACAATCACCCCGAGAGCCAGGCCCTGCATGAATGCCCATATAGGCTCGTTATTGCGCTCCTCGCCCGGACGTGTTAGGTTTCATGCGAAAGCTTTGTCCGCAGTCAACGGCATATCACTGACTGAGTATTTTGAGATTGGTACGGGGGCGGTCAGCGATTATTTCTACGGAATTCCGTTATGCCTTACGGGCTTTCTCTCGAGCCAGACCAGCAACCGCGCATGGGCGCATGATACAGGCAGAATGACATTACCTACAAAGACAAGGGAGAATGGAATAGCCATTTCTGGCTTATTAGCCGTCATCAACCAATCACACATAACCCTGAAGTGTGGAACACCTGGGACTCGATCCCGCAACCTGTTGGTTGGAAGTTCAACGTCCCTAACCAAAAATTCACCGAGCTGAGACAATTGGCTGCTGTGAACCAGTTACACCTGGCTTATCAATTGTTTGGCAGCTTCTCGGAGTAAACCTCTGCAATGTGGGACAGGAAGGTTTCCCGTGATTGTTTTGGGCTGACGATGTTTAGTCCAGACCACAGACGATACTGCATCGCGTCAATTATGGGTCCAGAGAGCTCGGTCTGACACAGAAACGCCTTTATGTAATCTTATTTTCAGGCGACTCCAATACTTTTCACATGCGTAGGTATGTCAGCCTGTCGTCGCGTCCTCACAATAACTGTCCTGGTTTGCGGTGAAATGTGCAGTGCTCAATGTTAGGTTGGTGCCCTCAATCCTTGAACCTGTTCGCAGTGCCTCGGTAATACAGCAACGGTAACATATGAAATCTAAACCGTCAGTGTGTTTCCTGAGGATATGCCATCGCATTTTCTAGCAGCATTAACATTTTCAACTTTTGGGCAGTAGTCCTCAGTCTTGGCAATATTGCAGCAGCTTATCGCAGTTCAGCATTCCCATCATCTCGTCAACTTCTGTTGATATGTCCCACTGAGGTTGTCTGCGTTTTACAGTTTGTTCAGGGTGTGATCTGCGTTTAAAAAATAAAATCAGTTTACTGTGTACAGTCAATTCCTACAATTGAAACTACCATCTACTTATAGATATTGATTTTTATATATAATGGTAGGGGGCGCTCACTGATCGTTCCTACGGAACTCACTCGACAAACTGACTTCATGTGTTTCAAAATTCAGGTTGAGTATTTGTTTTACGTGCTGAAATCTTCGCTATACACCATAACTTATTTTAATTACATATACCTATATATCTATTTGCATGCAATGTCACTTTGCATTAATATACTTGCCTTTTCTATTTACTCCTTCTGTCATTTATCTTACCTTGCTATCTATCCTCCTTGCTCCCCGTCTTGCATTTTTTGCGGATTCCTGACAGTTATTGCGTCTCCTGGTATAGTCCTCAATCCGCATTATTTGCACTTTCGAGAAACGCCTGTGGCCAATTACCATTGGCTGCAATTTTTCTTGGGACCTAAGCTTTCGTTTCTCGGTTGAGCGCGGTTTATTCGCATACCTGAATTTCCTTGACTACCGCTTTCGGATAGTTATTGAAATGTTTGGACTTCCTTACTGCTCATATTCCAAGCGCACTAGTAAGTTTTCTATGTAATTCTACTTTTTTTTCACATTTCGGAAAAGGAAGATGATACTAGCGTTGGGACAAGAACTTTGTTCGCCTGACGTTTCGGATTCCTGTCCAAACCCATCATCAGAGAGAAAAGCAGACACGGGTGCTTCATGCACAGGGGGCTGAAGTATTTATAGGATGCAGTCGCCATGCTACCGCATGCCAATGAATAGCCACGGCTCCCCCTTCATCAGGGATCGTTGCACGTGGTGCTATGACTGCTTGGTGGCCGACATTCGCGCCGTGAAATGCTGCAATTTCATCGCGTGCGTTTGATGTTGGTGTGGTGATTTCTGGACCATCTGACCCACCGACCCTGGCGTTGGGAACAGTGTTCACACGTACGCTCCCGGTTTGGCTAATTTCTCTGTCTAGGCGAAGTCTCTGCACCGAATACAGAAGGGGCATATCACTGCTTTTGTTAATAAACTGGGGGTTGGTGAATCATTTCTCAAGCCCGAATCATGAAAGGCCAAACCAAACGGACCCCAAATTTTGGCGAGCGCCTCCGTATGCGAAGAAAGTTTAGAAGGCTGTTAGCCGCCTTCTCTCGCCACAAGGGGTTGGAGTTGCACACAGACCAGAGGCAACCATCAGACTTCAGACTATGAGACTAAAAGACCCTCTGCCACGAAAAGAAACGTCTGGAGTCGTTTATCGGATCTGGCGCAGTTGCGGACAAAGTAAATACGTCAAAAAGACCGGAAGAATGCTCCAAACGCGGCGGCTCCAACAAAAACGGCCTCCTCCTTCGGCGAACCTGCGCGGAACACTGTCTCCTCTAACCCAGCACATTTTTCTCTTATTCAACGAAGGAGGCTGCAACCTCGGTGCTCCATCAACACCGCGGCGTTGACAGCAGCTGGGTTGCATTCTCCTCCCGGGGGAGGGGGCTAGATCGGCAGAAAGTGTTAATGCTCAAAATGATCTGTGACGTCAACGACTGCAAGTACCATTGCCCCGCCTACCTACTCGTCTAGAAGGACAGACTGTCGTACCGAAGCAAATGGTGGCCTTCTTCAGATATCACCGTCTTGTGCAGCAGTGGCTGTGTTAGAGGCATGATGCCTTAATGGATAAGAAGTTCGAGGAACCCCAAAGGTACGTTGAAAGCAATGAGGCAAAATCGGCTCCGGATCCAGACACTGCTTCTTTCCTTACAGAAGCCATCAAAGTCGTGCAACGGATTCAAATCGGGAAAGTACCGGCATCTTACGCCATCTGAGCTATAGTCTACAAGACTAGCTACCTCATGTGATTAGTAAACTTACGACGATATTCTGAAAGAACACAAGGAACAAAGAACACAAAGAGCAATTTACCAAGGAGTTCAGTGACGCGAACTTTTCAGCGGATATCAGGAACACCGACGTCTACCCGAAAACCAGTGTGTCTTCAGATGATACCTCAGAACAATCGCCTTGACTTTCCCCGCCCGGTAACCTTGGGTAGCATGTTAGGAAATGTGGAACCAAATCGGCACCACTTAGAGGGATTTGACTAAAACATCATACACAGTGAATTGCAGAACTTTGACTGCCCGTAGCGACTCCCGTAAATGATGCCTCGGATCGTTGACAGGATGATGGCGCGCGCGTCACGGGCAATGGGACCGATTGAGGGGCCTTCCCGAAGACCAATGGAATGAAGCAGGACTGAGTTCTTCGTCATCCCTGCACCAATCTTCACGACATCGACCACCACCATCACCACCAACACAGGTCGCCACAGGTGATCACAGCCCTGACGCCACGACGGTTCAGCCGATGCCAATCATATAATAAAGGTCATGAAATGCCGAGACAAACGGAATTAACTCGGATGAAGACGAAGATAACACACGGTAGTTCAGACGATTTGCAATAAAAAGAATACAATAGGTCAAAGTACCAGTAAAATCCCTGGCCTGAATGCGACAGATGAATGACAAATGAAGAAAATACAGTGGATGTCGTGAATACAAATTTTCCTCTCATCGTGCAGCAGTTGCGAGGAAATGACCACATTTAAATAGTATTCATAAATATTTAATTTTACAAAATATAAACACACAGGACCCAATGCAATATACAGATCTAAATTAGGCATAGTAGGAATTGCTATATAGTATAGAATATCAGTTAGGCAAAGCCATTTCACACTCCGCATAATCACTAAATGTCGTATGGACACACACACGATGTGCATGGGTTTTGTGAGGGGTGATTTTGCTTGCAAGCCATGGATACGAATATCACAATACCGATATTCCATTACAGTTGTCCTCGCGTGTATGCGCCCAGGAGAGATTCGAGGGGCAAGGCGATATAGCCGGTGACATTTTCCTGATGTTTCAAGGAGTACACGATCCCAGCTGGCAACTCGAACTGAAGACCAATCCTATGCATCACCAGACCCAACCACGCATCGTCAATGGGAATGCACTTAGTGTAGAACATGGCCAAAGCCAGATCCGCAACGTGATCGTAACCAAACATGTAGAAGTATCCATTGCTGTAGGGCGCATGCACTGGTCACGGAACCTCCCGCTTCGACAGTGCCCATTTTCGGACGGCCGGAGTGTCCGTGGGACGCACTGTGGGACTATTCCAGCGAGTACTCGAAATGGAAACTCTGCGCCGCCAATCCACCGGCAGACTGGACAGAACGGCCTGCAGGCGCTTCTCATTGAAACCAATGTCATCGTCGAGGAACATGAAGGCAGGACGTTCGCGACAGAACCTGGCCGCCCACACGAATGTGTGATGCATCTTCACAGACAGATTGTAGTAGGTGTCTTCAAAGTCGCCCACGATGAGATCATCGTGTTCACGCATCTCCTGCTCTAGGCGACTTCGAATCTGGGCGCGGCGGTTTCCAATGTTGACGAGCGAGTTGCCGGCGCGACCGGCCAGTGAGATGATGAAACCATCACGTTGGAAGGAATTGTTGCTTGTCCTTGTGGGCAGGCCCACCATGAACACTATTCCTATACGATAAGGTCGTTTAACCCTGCTCGCATTTCTCAGATGGGCGTAGAATCTGCGAAAGGCTTGTCTGTCCTCGAAGTTGTAGACGGCTGATTTCACAATGACGACGAGGTCGTGGTTGTGTTTGCGGTCAGCGACGTCATCTCTCTCTGGTGAACAAACCGAAGTGCTCGCTTTGAGAAAGTGCATGCTGGGGCCGTTGACGGGAGGCTGCAAACGGGCAAGAAGGTTCTGAATGAATTAAAAAGAATTTTGTCGCAGAGACGATTACAAAGAATACGTCGAGTGAATTGTGTTTGGTGGTGCTATTGTTAACAAAATGAAGCGTACTGAGAAGCCTAGGAATGCTCTTTGTAAGATGTCTGATCCCGGTGCCGATAAAATCACAAGAAAAATCCTTAAATGCACAAAATATATGTCAGTTATCCAGGGACTTCGTCTCGCTAAATGCATTTCCAACGTTTAGAGGCTCAACCAGCCTACTTTCCTGGCACATGTGCCTATATTTGTCACGGATTCTTAAATTCGAGTATTTACCAGAATTCTGAATTCAGTTATCAGCGGTTGACCATCTCCTCACCTCAGGTTTAAAGCTAAGGCTAGGGTAAATGTTAGGATTTGGTCCAGGGTTAAGTTTACGCCTAAGATTAGGCTAGGGTTTGTGGTAGGTTAGGGATTGGGAATAGCATTAGGATTATAATAAAATTAAGGATAAGGTTTGCTTCTGAGATTGCGGTTAGAATTACACCTTGATATGGGATATTGCTGCCCAATTTTTCCTGTCAGGCATGTCTTCTGCGGGGATTCCAGGCTTCCTTCAATATCGCGACAAGGTTATCATGCATCAGGTTGCCTACTCCGTTTCAGCCTCGGCCAATTTCCCCTCTAAGGATTGCAATATCCGGCTTCGGCTTAATTTAACTTCAATGCAAACATTGCGCTTGCACTTAGGAACAAGAGCGCGCACTCGATCCTTCCCACGGAACGCAATGTAATACAAACCGATTCACTACGAAATGCTCTCGAGACAATCACACGGTCATTAATTTGAAAGTGAATCTGCGCTTACCTCATGAACCAAACCATTCTCCCGATAATTCCGAACGACCACGTGCAGAGCAAAAGCCTGCGGATACAACAGGAACACGTCCGGATTAATTGGCATTTTCCAGTCAGTATCATCTATTTGCGCCATCTCTGCAAAGCTAATATTCCCACTTCCGCCAGTCTTGCTGATCCGATTGAGGGGAACTGTGTCGTATCTGGTCACTGGGAGGTGCGAATCTACAGCTTAACGGAGACTCAGGTCGTAGGTGCCGTCCTGTGTCATTTCACAGATACTAATCCAGCGACAATTAAATATTTCTGGTGAAACTCCAACTTTTATTGTTTCAACAGCGCTTCGCAGCCATTCTCGTTCTAAGTAGGTATCGCTCAGTAAATTTAGGATCGCCCCTACGAACAGGAGGAGGAGGAACCACGTACGGTAAGACAGCGTGCAACGAGCCATCGTGATGAAGCCCATTCTACTCGCTTCGGTGAATCTCAGAATTCAATCCCACGCCCTATAGTCGAGGATTTTTACTGAACAGCAAAATGCACTGAGTGGCGCATCACATTCGGAATGCTGTTTGCCATCCATACAGTCCTAACCAATCAGACTTTAAGGAATCCGTTTTTTGCAGACGATATCGACATGCAATATACTCTAAAAAAAACTTCCCTCAACTGACCTCACTGGCTTCAAACTCGACTGAACTTGGTTATTCTGTCAATCATCCTCTAAGTACCTGCTATTCCGTGCTTGACAAGTCAAACCCACCGGTTAACTCTGTAAAGCATTTAAAATGAGCACTGAACTGGGGGCTATCATTCGTAATCCATATCGGTCTAAGTTATGGCTTGCTGATGAACACAAAACAGAACCTCTTGTGTGAAATTTTCCCCTCCCCCAATTCAAAATGCTGCCTCAAATGACAGTAATTCTCAGTAATTCTAAACTTCTTAGACGACTGTATTAATTGAGTCGCAGTGGGTTTCCGCACATAAGAATGAGGTGGGTTGTAAAGCGTGTTTGCTTGCGTAATTAATACAGTCAGAAACTAGCAAACTTGAAGAGGATAGATAGGACAGCAGGAATGGTCGTGTGCTAGTTCAAGCATTCGAGTCCATCCCCGAGTCCATCATCGGTTTGCAAGACAGGCAATTAGACAAACATTCTCGTGTGTGGAAAATGGATTATCAGACACACCTCCTAGCAATACCTGCTTTGATCCTGGTAGAATGTTCAAATCACGCTGAGTGGTCTGCGTCTGTCACTCTGGGAATATACCATATTTTCTCTTTCCCAGTGCGATGCAGGCCCTCGGAAGCACAAAAGTCTACTGCGACCAACAAATCCCTAGTTCATCACTGGTGCTTCCGCCATTGGCTAGTCCACGCATTGTTGAAATTGATAATTTTTAGGATTCAAAAGACAATTTGGCGAGTCCAAGTATGTATTCGACCATTTCTCTTCAGACTAATGAAGCCCCCTGAGTGATTAGTAAGGTTTCACTAGGCCATCCAAACGTACTTGGCCTGCGTCAGTTGGCTGCGGTAAGGGCCACTGCAGTTAGACTGCACGAACCTGACGTGTGTGCACAGAGCTAGTTCATGCAGATTCCACAGTTTCCATGGCCAAGGCCGCCGACCCACCCACCCGGATCTTATTACCCTTCTTTCTGTCCATCTTGTCCCGCCTAACGCTTAGTGCATTTTTGGTGATTCACTTGCCTCCTCACTCAAACCTGAGCTACAGCATAATCATCCAATTGCCCGCACCCCTCTTTCATTGATTATTTCAATATCAATACAAATGCATAGGCTTGGAGAGAATTAGTCGGAAGCAGATATATGCTCACCAAATGGTCTTTTGATATTTTCTAGGACAAGATTCCCTCGAGCCATCAAAAATCACCTGGACAGCGTCTGTTGGCAGCGGCAGAGGCGGCTGCAATCAGGTTACGACCACCAGTTCTATGAACAAGGAAAAACTTCGCACAGACCCCACAGTTGTCATGGACTAAAGCCACTATGTCAGCAACTCGCCTATAATTTCCCGTCCCATTGCCTACCATTTCCCTCACCCACTCTCAACGGATACCTTCGATTCAAAACCAAGGCCGTGGAGGTGAAAATACGAGCAAGGCTTATTGGGGAATGCCTCGACTGCGAAGGGTATCCTACTTCCTACTGGAGAATAATGAGACGGAATCGCTCGGTTGTCGCCTCTGATACTTTAGAAGGATTTATCAAAAATGAACATGAGAGCACCCATATAAAGGCGTAGGAACCAGGCATCATATGTGCCGACGAGCGGTAGTACCCAACCAAGTGGATGAGGAAGAGAGACAGGAATTCTGGAAGTATGCTTAGTCCATGGTGGAAACACGTGGACAAATGGAGATTGCTTCTGATTTGCGGAGTGTACACGAAGGCAGGTAACAATGGAAGATTCCTGAAGACTCCAATCAGTACGTACACAATTATTCGTCTGTATATATATCTCTCTCTCGATAAAACCTCGATGCAAATTTTATCAACTGTTCGTAATTTATACCGTCCCCACCAGTAACCCTGCCAGCTAGAACTAAAGACACTGTTCGACAACCTCATAAATCAAACTCATGGCCTTCAGCCGATTTCGAAGAGAGCGTGGAACATCTATAGTCCAAGTTAGTCATCAGCCCCCATCAATACCTGAGCAGTAGCCAGAAATGCGGAGGCTTACTGATGAAATCGCATAAATACAGTCAATCCTGTCGGACCAGGAAAAGTTCCGAAAGGCAGAAAGGAGAAGCATCGAACAAACGAGGTCAAGGCACAGCTGACTGAATTCAAACGAATGGTTTCCTACGAGAACACGAATTAGAGCATCCCCGACCCGTCGTCAGGCCTATACCTGGGTTATACAAATTGCTGGCGATCCACGATGATAAAACAACGGTTCGCCGATCCTCGATATGAGGAACTCGAAGTGTCATGCGATAGCAGAATTGCTAGCGGAGAAATTCAGGTCTCGGCAGTATGGGTTAGCGCCACACGGCTGCCGGGATGCCTTTGAATTCGTTAACGGCGTGAACTACCTCGACCTAACCGGAAGTGTTGTGTTTTCGTTAGATGTCTCGTTACTTTTTATGAACGTACCAGTCACAGAAATGCTCAACTACCTCTGTGATTTCATTGCCTCTAATCAGCAGAACATAGGAATGCTGGTGGGTGTCCTCAAGAAATTGTTATTGGGGCGTGCCTTGAACTTGCAATTCCTATTTGAGAACAATCTGTATAGACAGGTGGACAGTGTAGATACGGGCTCACCCGCTTAGCACGATTATGGCGCATATATTCATGGGAAAGCCAAAAGCTTTTCAGCTTTATCTTCTAATCAACGGTTTTTGATACTATTGGTGATACGTAGATGATATATTCGCGATCGCGCAGGATCAAAACGACGTCTCAGTTTTATTAGATGACGAGGTGGCGAGCATACGTAGCTTTTGATAAATTCTCGTCGGGCCAGTACAGTTATATGGGAACGGATTAGAAGTAAAACATGTCAGCGATAAGAGAAATCGATAAAAGTTCTCCTTAAAAACCAGATGGGGTATGGGAATGTGGGGGAAGAAATGCTGGTCTGGACAATACACGAACTTCGCCAGTTTCGTACCCCTCCAACAAAAACGAAATCTATTCCGATGTTTGGCATAAAGAGCTGAAAAAACTTGTTCAACAGATAGCATCGAAGAGTAGCTCAAAAAAATCCCAGACTTCCTTCCCGTACACGGGTATCCTGACTGGCTTATTGCAAAGAACATTGCCGAAAGACCGGTCAAACCCGCCACACCAACCGCCGAAAATAAAACTTTGTTCCTCAAAGTCCCTTTCCAAGGGGACGCTGCGAGTGAAATCCTGTGGAGACGCCTTGATCAAACTCTCTCGTAAACCTTCCCAGCAGAAAGGGTACAAATATCATTCTCTACTAACCCTTTTTTACACGGAGAAGGTAAGAATAAATTGCCACCGCAGACCACCTCAATTTGCATCTATTCCTTGACTTGTTCCTGTTGACCAGGTTATATTGGTCGCACGAGTCGACGCTTATCCAAGAGACTACGGGAACACCTCCCCGCATGGCTGGGAAAAGGCGAAACGAGGAGCATAAGCAGCGCCATTCTCGCGCATGTTGTCGACGCCGGCCATCGTGTGGAACCCAAGTAAGCTTTTCGTGTGAGTTATAAGGTCCCATCAAGCCACTATGCCAGAGCTTGTTAGCGACAGCAGAAGCGGCCGCCATTAGGTTATGAAAGCCAATCTTATGCGTCCAGAAGAACCACGTTCAGGCTCCGCGCTTACAGTGGTTGAAGGTCGACTAACGCTGCAACTCTCCGCACCCTTCCGCTCTCACCCCGCCCCTGACACTGACTGCTATTACCCCCCCCCCATCCCCAACATTCCCAAACCTCCTCTGTGTTTTAAGGCGAACTTTTATCGATTTCTTGTATCGCTTACATGCTTTACGTCTACCCCGTTCCTATATAACTGCACTGGCCTGTGGAGAATTTATTGAAATCTACGTATGCTCGCCACCTCGTCTCCTGATTACTATTATGGGAATTTTCGCAACTCTTTTACTAGATGATATCAATCAAGCCACCCTCATCAATCAAATTCACGTTGAATGAAGAACAGCCGCGTTCGCTTCTCTTTCTATACGCACTTCTGTGTAGAATGCCTGACGGCAGTATTCGACGTAGCTTCTGCCGTAAGAGGACGACCACTTTTGGGAGTTTCCTACCGCTAAATTTGAAACGTAGTGTAGTCTGATGTTTGGCAGAAAGGGTGAGAAGGATCTGCTAGGCTGATAGCATTAAGAAGGAGAGGGCTTACGGTTGACGAAAGTCTCTTTCGCCAGAACGGCCACCGTGATCGATTCAGTGCTAAGATCATGGCCGTAAGCTTATTAAAGCCCCGAAATTCTGACGTCAGGAAAGAAAAGGCTTTCCATCAGGGTGTCACTTCAAGGGGACACGAGAGTGAAGTTTGAAGAGGTCAATTTGACAGTGAATCTGTACTTACCTCAGGAACCAAGCCAGTCTCCCGGTAATTCCGGATGACCTCACGCAGAGCAAAACCCTG